TTGATTGATTTATTGATTTATTGATTTATTGATTTATTGATTGATTGATTTATTGATTGATTGATTGATTGATTGATTGATTGATTGATTGACTGATTGACTGATTGATTGGTTGATTGACTGATTGACGGATTTGATTTGACTTGACTTGATATTGATTTGATTTGCTTTGATTTGATTGATTGATTGATTTATGTATTGACTGATTGACCGATTGATTGGTTGATTGATCGATTTGATTTGATTTGAGTTGTTTGATTGACTGATTGACTCATTGACTGATTGAGTGATTGATTGGTTGGTTGATTGGTTGATTGACTGACTGACTGACTGATTGACTGATTGATTGCTTGATTGCTTGATTGACTGATTGATTGATTTGATTTGATTTTGATTTGATTTTGATTTGATTTGATTTTGATTTGATTTGATTTGATTTCATTGATTGATTTGATTGATTGATTGATTGATTGATTGATTGATTGATTGATTGATGGATTGGATTGGATTGGATTGGGTTGGGTTGGGTTGGGTTGGGCTGGATTGGATTGGATTGGATTGGATTGGATTGATTGATTTGATTTGATTTGATTTGATTTGATTGATTTGAATGATTTGATGGATTTGATTGATTGATTGGGTGTTGGGCTTTTTCCCAGCAAGACACATGTGTTTTCCCTGAGTGCTGCGCAGAGCTGCGACTTGTCCGCAGGGGTATGGCAGGTGGTTCGTTCGTGCTTTGATCCTCGGTCCGACTGGCCACTGCAGGGGGTTGCTCTGAATAAGGCCCCCCGGAAGGGTTCTTAGAACCCTCTTGCGGCTCCTTAAAAGGGTTGAACCATTCTGGTGTCGCGGGGGCCCTAATGCCCATCTCTAATATGGTGCTGGTCTTATTGTTTGGCGGCGCTTAGCCGCTTAGCCGCTTGCCGGTCCAGGTGCAACAAAGCAGTTCCGGTGGAGACGGAGCACAGCGTCGACAAATGGGTGGGCTCCAGCGCTCGGCAGATGCTGATGGATCACCGGAAGCGTCATGGAAGCCTGGCGCAGACGGCGGATCACCAACGTAGGCCTTCACCACAGGGGAACAGTTGATTTGCGCCCAAAATCCTCTTGGCGAACCTCATGGCGGTTATAAGTAGCAATCCCTGCAATACCCCACATTCAATGGCCTTTGCAAGCGAGAAATCGAGAAGGGGGAACTTTCGAATACGAGACAAAGACCATGATGTTCACATTCTCCTTTCTACCATCCCAGCGCACCAAGCACCAATCCTGTCACGCAACATGACCCAAAGCAACCTTTCCCAGAGTCTGACATTCCTTTGGGGCATAATTTCCCTTACCATTTCAAGGAACGTATTTTTTGAGGAGAATCCATGGCGCGATTTTGGCATTTGGCGTGGTACAGCGCTGCAGTAGTGTTTCCGCAATTCCCGTTTTTCTGTGTTTGCGGTTTTTGGTTGGCTTGATGAAAAAGCCCTGAGTATGTGACCCCTCCCCCCCTGACCCCTCCCCGGTGCCACCCTATCATATGGGGAGTTGAGCTTTCCAACCATGAATGAGCCCAATTGCAGGCAATGTTTGGCGCAGTTGTTCAGCCACTTGAGAAAAAGAAAGAGGCACGGCCAGGAAAGGATCAGAGCTGTCGACTCTGTTGATTGGCCATCAAGCTTCCGACCAACCAACCCAAACCACCAACCTAAACCACCAAACAAATATATGCACAACCACTGTGTCAGCATAGGTGGCCCTTTTCGGTGGTTTTGCTTGGACACAGATGGCCCCGGATGGCTGAAAAACCGGGGGCCATCGATTTTTTGGGGAGCCGACCAAGAAGGAGCCCTCTGAGGACAGACCAAGCCCTGGTTCCTGGAAGTGGCGTTCAGCGGCCCCCACCCGCCGCTGATTGCGAACACCACCTACCACGACTGGGAGCTTCCCAGCGCCTTCGACGAAGGCGCCTTCGATTGGGAGCTGGTCTTCCAACAAGGCCCCCTGGCTCAAAGGGACTTTGGCATCCCCAGATTTAAGAAAGAATGACAACTTGGGCTCAACACATGGGTTTTTTCCGTTTGGGGAGAGGGTCTGCTTGCGTCGGCCCCACGAGAGGAAGGGATGATTGGGGCAGCGGAGGCAAAATGATAGGGACTCTCTCTTCACCTGCTGGATTTGTTTCTTCGAGCCTTCTGGCCTGAAGATGTTCCGAGCAGAGGATCATGGCATGTCAGCACCTACTGTTCCGGACTTTGTAGACGTGGGTGGGTCGTGGCAAGGCGCAAGTGAACATGCTGTTGGCACTTGGCTGTCACTGTGAATAACATTGAAATTGATGTGCAAAACCACTGCAGTCAATTGTTGGGGTGTCAAGCGCTGCGAGGCCTATGGTCTATGGTGTTTTGCTAGATGTGCCAAGAAGCTGAGGTGTGCCCAAGCACATCCCTCACAGATTTAAGTCCACCGTGAACGTGCGCGAGAGCCGTGCAGGGTATGCGGAGCTGTTAAGCCGCATAGATGTTGAGCCGCTTGGCGGGGCAGTTCGTGCGAACAACATTGGCTAGCTGGTGGTTGGCAGGGAGCCGTTCCGGAGCTGGGGGTATCCAAAGTTGCTTGTAAATACAGAGCCAAGGAGGTAGTTCAGTTCCAAGACGAGCTCCAGGTTAACATGGGCAAATCAAAACGCCAAAGGCCAAAGGTCGGCCTTTGAGAGAGCGCAGGGAAAGGCTGGCAATCTTGCTTGCACCACAGTGGCATGAGGCCAGGTTGGCCTGGTCAACCCAACAGATTAGAAGGATGTGGAAGGCTTTGTTGAACCAACGCCCCCCTCTGCCCTTTGTACGTATGGGTGTGCATTTTTTGTCAACTGTTCAATTCTTAAAGAGGGTGGAAGTGAGACCCCCGCGAATCATACCCCGAAGCAAGCCCCGAAGCACACCCCCCGAATCATTTGAGAGACCCACATTTGCCCTGCAAACAAGCCAGAGTCAAGAGAGATGCCTTCCGTGGCTCATTTGGGCCCTGGCCCCTGGGGTTTGCTTTCAACCATGACCCTTGTCGCCCATAAGGCCGCCATCTCGCAACCGGACGGTAGAGGGCCAATCTATCCCTAGATTGGGACTGGACGCCCCCTCTCTCTCTCTCTTTTTTTCCTCCCTCTCTCTATCTCTGTCTGTGTTTCTCTCTCTTTCTGTGGTTCTCTCTCTTTACTGCCAAGGGTTGCATGTTGATACCTGTAGAGCCGTGGCTGAGGTGGCAAGGGCTTTCCCAGCAAATCAGTTCATTCCTCTGCCCCAAGTCCCCAACATATACGAACCTCGGGCACGAGTCTTCGAGTCCGGTCCCAGGATCCAACAGATCTTGGAGTTGGTGGAGCCGGAGCGTAGCAACACTGTCATCGTGCTTACCTCGGACCACGGGGAGCACCTAGGTGCGGAAGCTGATTTGGAGCAGCGATCCATTTAGCGCTGCCGGACTTGCCCCGTGCTTTGGCATTTGGTTGGCTGTTCGATGAAACCCGGTTCCTTGAGCCAAGTGGGGAAAGTACCCCGCATCCGAACCATGCCTGAAGTTCCGCCTGCCATGGGTTTGCTGCATGGCTTCCTTCCACTTCCCCGGGCGGAATGGCTCGCTTCAGCCTGTCCGTTTGGCGCGCTGGCGTGTGCTTGGATGGCTGCAACAACTTGACCACTTGACTAGACATGACTCGGCCTGAAGGGTTCTAAGGCCATGCGCAGCTGCCACGTGCCATGTGTGCAATTGGGGATGCCGCAGGGCTTCGGTCAGTGCCGTTTGGTGCACCCCAGTCCTTGTTTGACTACTTTATTGGAAGCATGTATGCATCGATATATCTCTATATATATATATGTAAACATACATAACAAGATATGTATGTATATAAGGGCAGGTGTCCTCTTGAAGGTATGCAACACTTTTTCATGATTGCGAAGGATGCACCCTTTTGTAAGCAGCTTCTGTTTGGAGGAGCCTCCCCCTTGGGTTGGCTTGGGATCCCCTTTAGACGGACCTGGTACTCTCGCGCAGGGGACCACGGCTTCTTCGGCAAGACCAGCCCCATGGAAGTGAGCCTGCGGATCCCGATGCTCATCTCCGGGCCGGCCATGAGGGCTGCTGCCTCAGGATGGCTATGGAAGTCCGTGGATGTGTGGGGTGCAGGTGTGGTGAATGGAGGTCTGTTTTTTTTCCCCATATTTTTCCCCAACCGCTGAAAGCTGTGGGGCGATAAGGGGTGGTCCGGGGCGGCCCTGAGGTAAGGTTCCACGAGGGTTCCACCAGGGTTCCACCAGGGTTCCACGATGTTTTGCGAGGGCTGGGGGTGGTGCGAGCACTCAAAAGAGCACCGCGTGCTGTTGGGGATATCACCCGAGCTTTTTTTCTGCTCCAGCCTAAAAAAGGGGTGGGTGTTTTTGAAGGGACACCCAAAGAAAAACAACAAGCCCATGGTGAGGGAAGTTGTTTGCAGGTCGCAACCACGTAGACAGGGGATTGGGTTTGCGCCTGAGATTTTGTTGCAACCTGCCGGTGCTGTGTCAGCCAACCCCCTCGCTCCAGCAAAGCGCTGGATGTTGCCATGTTGCCACTAGCCCATCTCGGGCTGGGACTCAAATGGCCTTGGCCTTGTCCTTCTTACGAATGATTTCCCCACTGATTAATTATCAAACAGGTTATTGTGTTTCTATACCAAGCTGTGGCAAAGCCCAGCTTGGCAAGGCGTCGTTGACTGTCCTCTTTCGCAGAGCGCGTGGTTTGCTCCTGCTTCGGCATGTGCGTCTTCGGCCATGCCGGCCTCCAGTCAAACTGAGGGCCTCGGTGGCCCATCTCTCGAATCTCTTGACTCCTACCGCCCGAAGGAAAGCGGTTAGGGTGCCTTGCTTTTTGGGTGTGTCCTTTTTATAGGTTGCACCCTCCCCCCCAAAAAAAGAGGTTGTCCTTCATAAAAAGACGAGCCGCCCATTTTGATGGGCTGCCCTCAGCTCGAAGTTGAGATCGGCCCCAGGCCAACGTGGTGGAGGACGGCTTGGTGTCGCTGATTGACGTGGGGAGGACGGGTTGCGCATTTGGATCTTGGACCCAGAAGTTGGGTCACCAGGGGATGCGGATGGCAAATGTCCCTTTTCCCTCTATGAACACCTTCTGGCATCACACATTCCTGGCATTTCATGTCCATTTCCGCCCTGGTCCTTGTCTGCGGCAAGTGCAAAAACGTTCACATCGCAGATCGGGGCAGCATAGTGGGCTTTGGTCAGTTGCTTCGCACGCAGCCTCATGTTTTGCACCAAGCAGGACTTTTATTGAACTGGCTGGTGCACAAGTTCCGGCGAGCATGCTGCTGTGCTGCACCGCGAGGTCGATCCATTTCGTTGGTTGAATATCTCTTCGAAGGATTGTCTCTCTGAGCTGTGGGGCTGCCCGTCTGCGCTTGTAGGGACTCCTGAAGTTGATGGCTCTTAGCACTCCCAAAAGGAGCCAGTTCAGCTATCCCAAGTCTTAGAGAGGGCCCGAGCCCACCGGTTTGGAAGCTGAGCCGTCAGTGGACCCAGCCAGCTGAGACCAGAGGCTCAGCCTCTGTGACCAGACCTGTGAGCCGTGCCGGGCCGAAGTGGGGAGAGCCCGGATTTGTGTTCCTTGCCGCGCTTCTCAGGGCTGCCATTAATGGCAGCCCTTGAGTAATCATGGAGGAACACGCCGTTGGCACGCTGATTCTGGTCGGGAACGCCAAACTCACCCATTGAGGTGGTTTACCGGCCCGGTTGGCGGCAGATGGCATCACCACCTGCGAATCGCAGGCTAAAGTGGAACAATCATCCGTTTTGGGGCCATCCCACCGGAGCTGTTTTGCACATCATTCTATGTCTAGGTCAATTCAAAGGCGGCCCGCTTTGAAAGCGCGCCCTTTCATCGGCTGCAATTGCTTTCTGAGTACCTACCCCCCTCCCCCACCACCTGACTGTCAGAATGGGAGTCCGAGAAGAGCCCACAGAATCCAGCTGCACATGGAGACCAATAGATAAGGCAGCGTTTGTTTAATGACTAAATGAGTCCGCGCATGATCACTGAGCTCAGTTGTCTCCTAGATCGGAGAGCTCTGCATACGATTTTGCATCAGGTTTGAGCCTATGAATTGCATGTGAGCGTCACCTGCAGCTTCCCGGTAGCCGGGGCGTCCGGTCGAAGCGCCTGGGGCCCGGGCGCGGGCGGGCAAGCTGAGGCAAAGCCATTCTCTGCTGCCGGCATTGCTGGGCTCGGGGCCTTTGGCCCGGGACTTTGTGGCGACCGGCCTCGACTTCTGGGAAGAGTATTTGGATGCTCTGCTGTGCTGCAGGGGTGGGGGGGGGGGGCGGGAGGGTGGGTTGAACTAGCAAGGACAATGCGGAGTAGAAAGGGCCTTTTCAATGGGGGTTTGACCCGCACACAGACTTGCAAACCTCTTGACTGCTGGCATTGTTTTTCATTTGCTGCCACCTCGGCATTGGTCTCACTCCCTTTTAGTGGCAAGCGGAAAGTTCAGCCGGTAGCTGAACTTCACCCGCGGCTTGACCACGGCAAAGGCAGGCACGTCGCTTTCTGCGCCATGTGCATCGCTGAGGACGAAAACACCAGCCTGGGCCGGAAGCAGTTTCAGACCGCGGCCGGGATGTTTGAGGGTAGCTTCCTGACGCTTGGCTCGCTCGGTTCAGGAGAGGCAAATTCCATGGGCAGTGGAATGATGGGATATCCAAGTAGTGGACAGCCCCTTTCGCTTTGTAGCTGTTTGAGTTGCAACTTTGTTCGGGGGCGAACGAGAATATTCCCCGTTTTGGGTCGGCCACGTAGCAGCGTGGCATTGCCCCATCAGATCAGCCGCAAATAGACCTTCTCCTTTTTGTTTCCTCTCCGAGGGGCTGGAGCTGTTTCGAAAGTGGCGAAGAGAAAGCGGGGGCCATGGGCCCACTTGCCTGTGGCCGGACGGCTTCGGAGTTCTTCAAGGCCTCAACTTCGGATGGGACACTTCTGACGGGCATGGGGGCACGAATGCCATTGTTCTGTCCAGGTAAGCCACAACCAAACCGGTAAGATGAAGGCTAGGAAGGGAAAGTCCCAAGCATAACATTTCAATACCGGGCGCTGGACAGCTCAGGAAGCTGATTTGCTGCCCTGCGGGCTGCAGGAAGCACGGGAGCTTGCTACCACATGTTGGCTTTGTTCCCCAGGACGGGGGGGATGGAGGGGAGGAGGAGGAGGGTGGGGGGGGGGGGGGCAGCTTCATTGCCTCAAGGTTGGGCAAAGCGCAATGGATGCGCTTCAGCGCACAGGCCTGCTCACAGTGTCGCTTTTTAGAGTCCCCAGGTGGCGCTCATGAACGTCACCGATGGCGTTGGTGCCGCCAAGTTCGAGCACAACGTGCTGGACCTCTCCTCGGGCTTCGGTGTGCCGGAAGCGCGGCAGCTGATGCGCCACCTGGGCCACGGGTTCCAGGCGGCCTGCCGGCCGCTGCTGAACCGGTGAAGCGGGCGATGCCGAGCCGCTGGGAGTGTTGCCCAACTTTAGGCAAGACGTCCGTGGAAACAGGTCGGGTGAACTCGAGAGGATGCGGGTGTCCAAAGAGGCGTGGGGATGCGCACTGGCGCCCCTCAGTTCTATGGCATGCCCTGAGCCCTGGGACCATGGAAACCAACATTGTTTTGGGGGGGTATGTTGACAAGGCCTTGCAAAGAGGGGCAAAGCTCTGGACACTCTTCCGGTGCCGTTTGCAGGATGCCGCGCCCAGCCCTGAGATGTCTTTGAAGGCCGTCCAGCCCCCCAGGCACAAATAAGGCTCGCTACCTGGGTCACAAGCAAGAGACGAGGGCAAGGAAACCAAGTTACCAAAAGCACATTTGTCATGCTTGTTAGAATTGCTGCCGATGCTGTTGACACACGGGCCGAACCTGCAATGCTCACTTACCTAACAGAAGTGCAGCAGGCGCAATGTGGCATATGTTTGTTTCAGTTTCATCGTGGCCTCGTTTGAGGCCATCCTTTGCAACAACTTCGAATATAGAGCTGGAAACCCCTTCAAAACGGTGGTTTTCCCTCTCGCTTTCCCCTCCAATCCGCCAAACAAGGGGTTTGTTGTCTATTTTGCAGGGGGCCCAACAAATGGCGGTTTCCCTCTTGTGCTCGCTTTAAACAACACAAAACGGGGGGTCCCCCCCAAAAGGAAAGGCGGAGCCAGCCGCCCAAGGCCTGAGGTCTTGGTGAATCTACGCATGGGCGCCCGAGCTTTCGGGTCCGCTGCCAGCTGACGACAGACCAAAGGTTTGCACCCGGCATCACCTAGCCGGAGGTGCTTCCATTTGCTTAAGGCAATCTGTTTGTAGTTTGCCCCTGTTGGTTTTGGAAGGAATCTATGTATATATATATATATGTATATATATATATGTATATATATATATGTATATATATATATATATTCTGGACATATTGTTTGTATGTTTTCCAGGTGGCTGAAGCAAATGGAAGGGTGTGTGGGGGACGTCAAGGGTCCCTAAATTTCATTTTGTTGGACCTTTTAAAGTGGCAATTTTGTTGCCAACAAGCCCTTCACCAGCCCTTCACCAACCCTTCACGCCCCCAACTGGTTGTGTTTTTTTTGAGGGAACCCCTTTTTTCAGGGTTGTTTTCTTTAAAGGGACGCCAAGACAGGACGCCCTGGCCTTTTTTTGCTGGGGTTTCCCTGGCATTTCCTCGGTATGTCCGCTTCATATTCCATGTCCCTTTCATTGCCAGTCATTTCCCTACATCTCCGTTCCCCTATGTTTGAGACCGACCCAGAGGAACGCCAACCCCCACGCAGCACGGACGCTCCCCGGCGAGGCCGGGGGCCCTCGGCCTTGGCGCAGATCCTGGCGAGGCGAGGTGCGAAGCGGCGGGCGCGTGGAGCTTTTTTTTTGGGCGGAACCGGCGTTTGGGTTGGATTGGACAGTGGGTCCCTGCATTGCTATTCTCAGTGGCTCAGTGGCACTTGATTTTTGTTTTGTGGCTGCCCCACTCAAAATGGTTTTCCCTTTTTTCCTCCAGGGTCACTGAGCAACTGAGTATTTTTGGTTTCAAACATCACCCGTGGGGTCCAGTTCTATGTTCCTTTTTGGTTTCAACCATCACCCTGTTTGGCATTCTGAAAGGTGGGTGTCCCTTGGTTGATGTTTTAAGGGGAAAAGGGAGCCCTGTTGAAAGGGAATCCAAAAGGAAACGCTTGCCATCCGTTGGGGTCCCCTAAAATATGACACGCCCATTTTTAGGGAGTTTTCATCCTTGACCCCACATTCCTGTCAAAAAGGGGGGGTGTTCCCTCCACAAGTGATGAATCTCCACCAAACGGGGAAACCACAAGAAACTGTTGCCATTTTCCCGCTTCGTAAAGCGCAGGCTGGAGAACCTGTCGCACGTCCTGCTTTGGGTCGCCGGCCTAGGCTCTGTGCCTGAGGCAGCCCTGCAGGTCCGACCAGGTACGAAAGCAAGCCTAGGTCCCGCAGCTAGGTGCCCTTTTTGGGGGAGGGTCCCCTATTAAAGTAGACTACGGAAAAAAGGGTACCCTTATTCCAACCTCTCTACTGGAGGACCTAGAAGCACATATTCGCGATGTGTATTCTTGTTTCGCATGGGCGAAGTGCTGGCTTCCCATCATGTTTTCATAGGCGCTTCACTTTTGCTACCTCATCGCTATTCAACATGATTATCATCATACACGGCACATATGATGTTTGGGGCCAACGCAGGTCTCATGTTTGACCCCGAAAGTTGAGACGGCATGTGCTGGGCGCGTGCTTTTATGCGGGTGGCATGGCAGCTGTGCGTGCAGGAGCGCGCGTGGAGCATGCGCCGTGTATATGCAAGCAGCGTTGCGGTTTGCACAAGTCGTTGTGTGTACAACGTTCCCCTCGGCAGGTTTTTTCGACGCTGCAGGTTTGGGGACGGTAGAGAGCAGGGGTAGCTGGTGCTATGTGCTGCCTTTGGCATGGGCACCTCGCTCCAGAAACACGCATCCACGTCGGCTTGCGGTTGCGGGAAGATGCCCAAGCACAGCTCACCGCAGCATCTCTGCATTTGATGCGGGGCCCAAACAAAAAAAGCGCCACGCAGTGTTTGAAGATATGTCGCCGCGTCTTCCAAAAAGTATTCTGAAACTAGGGGGCCCCCCTTGGTGCGTTCCAAAGCCGCCACATGGGGCGCAGCTTTCTTCGAATCCGGGCGCCTTCGCGCCGAGGCCAGCGAGAGGGGCTTGCGGGCGGAGCTCCCGCGGCTGTGCTTGTCGGCGGGCCCGGGGAAACTTTGCTTGATGACCCCACAGTAATCAATCCCAGTTCAGTAAATGGGGGGGGGGGGGTTTCCAAAAGTGGCCTGATGCCCGAGTTGTCCGGTAAACGGTAAACCCAGCTTCGCCGAGTTTTCGGTTTGGCGCCGGTTGGACCTCGAGTTTGGTCGCGCTCCTGCAACCATAGGTGTATTTGTTTTTGCTCGGTTCAGTTTAGCCACTGGTTTAGATGGGTTTTATGCCCCATGTGCCAGGGAACCCATTGATTTTATCAAACGGAGACCTACTGTGGATGGACGAAATCCATTTCGCGCCAGATTGAAACTATGGTTGACACCATTGTTAGTTGGTATTTGCAGGGGGCTCGACTCAGAAACCAGAGTTTCCTAGTGCGAAATGGATTTCGCCACCATCCACAGCGATATGGAATCCCTAAACTGGCTAAGTACAAGGCGGGTAGTTAAGAGCCCGAGGAACGCCGCAAGGTTCCTGTTGGGTTGCTTAGGGTTTCCTAGCGTTCCTCCGGGAGCCTTAGGGAACCCCCCCCCCCCTTGGACCACCACCCAGATATTCCATCCACGGCGTACCAGCCCTGGCTGACTCGAGCGCGGGCACCTGAGTCGGTCCGAGGTCCTTCACTTCTCAGGACGGCAGGCCGGTTCCGTGAGCTTCGCATGCGGAGAACTTTCCCGGTGGCTGTGGCTCGGTTCCTCTTTTTTTGGTGGGTAATTACTAGTTGCTGTGGCTCGGTTCCTGTTTTGGTGTTTTGGTGGCTGCGTTGTTTTAAATTGTTGTTTGGTTGTGTTGTCCGTTCTTGGCTTAAAGGAAAACTAGAAGGACAAGCAGCAATTTGGGGGGTCCAATCTTGAAAAGACACTGACTTGGCGAAAGGAGGAACTGCGAGAACTCATCCGTCCTGCAACCTGTCTTGGAACCTCAAATTGGCGACCTTTTGTAACAAAGGTCACCTCCACATGTACGGTCGTGCTACCGGGTCAATGGATTTCCCCTTCAAAAGCTGATTAATTCTTCCGTGGTTTCAATCAAAACGATCGCTACTTTTGGAGGTTCCCTTGAAGGGAAATGGATGGAAATGGCTTGGACATCCTGTCCTACGAAAAGGGCCTTGCGTTCAAAAGGGGGGGGTGTTGTTTTTAGGATCCGGACTCCCCCCCCCACCCACCCAGCCAAAACTAGAGGACGAGTGGCCCGGAAGCATGGAGGCAAGTTAGTTGTTAGCGATCAAGTAGTCTAGTCGCGACAAGCTGCACACAGACAGATTCCGCTTTTTGTCAGTAGCTCGAACATGGTACTAAAAGTTGAGGAATTTCATGCACTTCTCAGTGCAGGTTCTCCCTGCTCATCGCGATCTTGCCCACCATCATGTCGCGCGTGTAGATCGAGTGGCTCGGCATGTGGATCTCGATGATGCATACCATGCTTCGGGCGGCTCCAACATGAACAAACAGGCAGCAAGCAAACTACCGCGATGTTGATTAGCGCTAGCTTGAACCAACCACCAGGCGCGTGGTGCGGAAGGCGAGGCGGGGGAGAACCAACACCTGAGGCACCGTGGAGAAACCACCACCACCTGGGCGAAGCGAAACTGGAGCGAAGCTCCTGGACATGCAGGCAACTTACAAATGCAAATGCAGAAGTGTGGCACGGAGGTTGTTCAATCTGCTGATGTTGTCCGGCTTCACTCGGCTTCCCTTGGCTTCACTCGAGTGCAACAGCGTGCAGGCAGCACAACTGCTCAAGCATGTTATGTAGGTTGTTCAATCTGCTGATGTTGTCTGGCTTCACTCGGCTTCCCTCGGCTTCACTCGACAGGCAAACGTGGAGTCCACACTAAGCGCTCAAGCATGTCACGCAGGCTGCTCAATGTGCTGATGTTTTCAAAGTGGCAGCATCGAGGAAGATCGCGAAGCGCATGTTAAAAGATACGGCGGCTGCATGCTGCGCGCGAAGCTGTGCGTGGCGGCGGTGTGTGATGCTGCGCGCGATGCTGCGCAGGACGTGGGTGTGACAAAACAAGACTAAAACATAACACAGTAATAAATCACACGCGCCACATGCCCAGGTGCTTGAGAGCCCCGCCGCGCGTCAAGCCGGAACATAGGAACTGCTCCGCAGCTAACTCTACGCGGCAAAGGGCGAGAATTGCTCCGCGCCAGCTTGAACCAACCACCAGGCGCGTGGCGCGGAAGGC